AGAGTCGTCGAGTTGGGGCTGTGCTGCGTAGCGGCGGTTGAAAGAGAGATGGATGTGGAGGTGGCTGTGGTTCGATGGAGATGTGGTGATGGGGTTTTCAGTCGTGGCACTGGGTTCGAAGATAGAGATAAGGGGTGGAACAGAAAGAGAGAGGGCCAAGGGGTGGAGGGGGCGGTGGTAGTGGTGGTCGATGGGGCACTGGCCTCATCCGGTGGTAGGAGGCTGTGGTTTGTGGTGTAGAAGAGAAAGAAAAGGAGACATCGAGAGAGTTACCTAAGAGTGCGTCGGGGTGGTGCCGTAGTCGCTCTCCTTTGTCAGTGGATCGCTGTTTCTGTCGTGTGAAGATAAAAGAGAGAGTACGGGGGGTGTTTGGATACCCACGGGACAATTGGGTTGGATTGGATTTGAATCCGAATCCAATCCAACCCAGTGAAGAGTAGTCCAGGTTGATTTATTCTTATCCCATCTTATCTTTACTTTGAACAGAGAACAATTGTTTTATAGACCTCATTCACATGTCTAAATAAAAATTGATAAAATGATCATTACATCCTTTAGAAAAAAATATAATCTAACCCTATACCAACTTTAGGTGAGTATGGTGTCAAACATTGATAAGGATGAATAGGTACTTGAAAATAATAATATAATAAAAAAATTAGCTCCATAAAATAAATTATACTTATTTTGTTGAAATTTTGTTTTTTTGTTAATTTTTTTATGAGCATTGTGCAACACTCAATTCATCACAACATATTACAATTTTTTTTAGGAAGAATGATTTTTTTGCATTCGGAAAAAATTACAAGTAAGAGGCATCAGTTTCACCTCACCCTTACAAATCAAATACAACAAAGAATAAAATCTAAAAGTACCTCTCCTTTCTAGATTCTTATACAACTGCAACTCTCAGCTAAGGATTCATCACCAAAGCTATGCTTCTTATGGATTTTCTGGTTCCTATCCATGGCTACAAAGCCCGAACAAGAGAGAAAGATAGAATTTTGGATGTTCTAGTTTTGACTCGTAGCTACAAACCCCGAACAAGAGGTTCCAGGATAACAACGAAGAAACAAAGAGGCAGCAATTTTTGGATGAACAACATTACAGGAATAAGGAACCCCTGAAATAAACCCAGATCCAAGCAATGTGGTCATTCTTCCGAGGCAGCAATTGTTGAACAAAGCGATAAATTTGAAGATAAAAATATGGGGAAAAAATCCATGTACATATAATAATTTGTTTGATCTATGTAGCTGGCTGATTTTCTAATAGATCTCTAATGAATCGAAAAATGGAATAAGTGAGAGAGAGAGTAAATGAAATCAGTCTTGGTAATGATCGAAGCTCGCCAACTTCATACCAAAGCCCTCTATGAAAATCCCCTACCCCCCCCCCCCACACACACACAATAATCCATTCCCCAACACCAGAATCTCTCTCCCCACCTCACCTAACTTCTGCACACCTCTTCGCAGAGAGAGAGAGATGGGTTTAGCAAAGAGAAAAAAAAAGCAACGGTTATGAGCTAGAGAAAGAGAGAGGAAGCACCAATAAAGAGAATGACAGAGAGAGAGAGGATGGGAGAGAGAAGCATACCTAGATCTGTTGCCACCGTGCGCCGTATTAAGAGAGAGAGAGAAAGAGGTGAGACCAGTGGGTTGGTGAAGAAATGAATTGGTAGACAAAAGGTAAAAACCCTAATCATTTGCAGGGACATTTTCATAAAATAACTATCAATCCTATCAACAAAATTTGAATCCCATATGCTCCATGGGTTACACAAATCCGCTTCAGAGGGGATACTGGGCTCCGATCACTACAGGGGGATGTATTCAAAGCCAACGAATATCCGGCTCCATTTTTTGATCCAAAGCAGGGATTTGTGGGCCCTTACATTATTTTACTCAATCCAACTTATCTTATCCCCCTTTATCCCTCAATCCAAACACCCCCATAGAGTTGTGGGAGGGATTAAACCAAAAGAGAGGAATGAGAGAATTGGGGGGAGAGCAACTCCAATCGGGTCAGTAAAATGGCTTAGTTAAAGTATATTTAAATATTGTATTTTTTATTTTAGTTAATTATTTTTTTATATTTACTCTAATTACACTCTTTATTTTAAATAATTACTTTAACTAATTTTTAACAATATAATTTAAAAATATCCCATAGCCTAATAATATAATTTAAAATTTTTACAAATATTTGCATTAATATTTCATAGGGTCTAAAATTAAATATTTCATTATATAAGGGGGTTTTCTATATTTGGGGGATTGGATTTTTAGAATTTGGGTTTTAGAGTAAGGGTTTTTCAGAATTGGAGGAAGGAGGGTTTTCAGAATGGGTTTGGGGAGGGCAAGGGGAGGTGAGTTTTGAAATATGGGGAGGGGACTTACAGCTTGGGGGTTGGGAGAAGAAAAAGATTACCTAGATCAACCCTTGGAGAAGACGATGAAGACAGAGGCGAGATCACTACTAGCAGCCAGCAATAACAAGGAGCAACAAGAGGAGAGGGAGATGAATACCTGACTCACAGTTGAAGAACTTCTATACGCAGCAGCAGAAAAGAGTAGCAACAATTGATGAGCAATTTCTCTTCTCTAGATCTGGCGAGCAAATTTGACTTTCTAGATTTTGGCGAGGTGGATGGCTAGTGAGTTGGAGTTGAATTTTTAAGTGTTACTCGCCAAAATAGCTAAAAGGGAGGAATAGCCAGCAGTGTTGGAGTTGCCCTAACAAAGGAGAAATAGCGGAAAGAGAGACCCAAAAAAGAAAGGGGAAGAGAAAGAAGCGGGTAATTGGGGCGCGAGAGGGTGGGGAAGAAGATTCTAGGGATTCAAAAATTAAAAATTGTGGGCGGGATAAAAGTTTGAAGACTTAATTTGGTTCGTCGGATCATAAATTATGAGGGGGTCGTCGGAGTTGCTTGATCGCCACAGAGAGATAAGAGAAACGAAAGAAAGAGAACAGAGATGCATAACTGTGAGTAGGAGTAGAGAAGAGACAAGGGAGAGGGATTGTGTATGTATGTGACTGTGAGAGAAAGAGAGAGGGGGTGGAAGAGAGATGGGACAGTAGTCTCAGTCGTATGGGTGTGAAAGAGAGAGAGAGGTAGAAGAGAGATGAGACTCTAATATTAGAAATGTAACAAAATTTTTAGTTCAATTTTTGGGCAAAAAAAAATATATTTGGGAATCAATTAAGATCGTCAGATTAACAATCTTAAAATGATATAAAGCATTTGAACGATTTTATAAGTTTATAGTTTAAAACTCTTTGTACTTTATTATATAAATTGTGAAGGTATACACTACAAACAATTTATTATGTCTCCTATTCGAGTTTTTGTGAAGTGAAATTAGGGTTTCACCAATAAAATTAAAATACATAATTGTTGTTATGCAAATGTACCTATAAGTTATTTATCCTTCACTTTGATCAATGTTTACATACATGTAGCATATTTTTTTTTACCTATGCTATATTCCTGAACAACAAAGAGTATTATAATACTTTATCAAAGTAAAATATGGTATTCATACCCCAACCTCATTATTATTATTTTTTTTTGTTTTCGCACATTTGTAATGTATGTGTAATCGAAACATGAATAACACCATAGATCCTCCCTCGTTATGTTTAAATGTTATTCGCATGTACCTGTAGTTCAGATTATATCTATCCTATGTACTTGACTAAAACTATAATTAATGTACCTTTTAAATATAAGCTAAAGGCCTTCTTAATTGCTTGGTTCACAAATTTAAAATGTAAAACTGATACAAAACACTACAAAATCTTCAATAACAAATGTTTAAAAAAAAATTAACTGTATTTTATTCTGAAATAATATGATAGGAGCAAAATGGGTATGATAACACACTAACAACCTAACTCTTATACGTTATCACAGGGACCGCATACACATTTTTTAAAATGTTGGAGGACCTTTTTATATATTAATAATCCAGTATGATTAAAATTTGTTTACAAACAAAATGAGGACCCTAACTTAATTATCTATAAAAAATAATGGTCATGTGATAAAATGGCTAATGATCTGGGCCTGGGCTTGAAAAACCTGGCCTAGAGCTACCCAAGCCTTGGGGCTACATTACAGTGACTGACACAGCCGCAGCCCAACGACGCCCTTACCTTCAACTAAATTGTGTGGAAAATATTAAATTGGGGTTTTTGGTGGTGACTTAAAAAATAATTATGCTTTGTTGGATATAATGAAAAAATAGAAAAATGAAAAATGAATGGATTAGTTTTTCTTTTAACTCAACAAAATCAATCATTTCAAAATTAGGAGAAAAAATAGATAAAAAATTAATTATGTATACTAAAATGTATGTTATTCATCAAAGGTTTAAATACTCGGCGATGAGAGTCCCACACTTTTTGGATGTCCCATCTTTTTGCTTCATTTTCTCTTCTCTTGGGAAAAACCCAAAACTACAGTTGGCAAAGATTGACGTGAACCAACCCCCGACAACGAGGACGAAGTCTAGGTATCGTCCATGTCAAGCGCAAGCGATAAGGGGAGCAAGAGAGAGTGCAACGACGACTACAATCACGAGATCAAGAGAACCTCATCTCGAGGCATCAGGGACAGTGATAGTTCGAGGAAGAAGCTCAAGAGCATTCAAGTAATAAACAAGAAATTATATAATTAGTTTGGATTTTAAATTAGAGATAAGAAACATTAGCAGAGGAGGCACAAAACCCAAATTTACAATTGTTGTGGATTAAGCTATAATTTCTTCTAGAGTCAAGTTAAAACAACAAAAAAAGAAAAGTTAAAATCAATCCAAATAGTTTATAATTTATCCTTAAAATCATACAACTTTTGCTCATCCTTAAGAAACGACACTATAATTATATATAATAGAGCCCCAAAACACTAAAAGGCGAGTGAAGTAAGTTATGCCCTTTTAGAGGTTATGTACAATTTTTTTTTAATGTATTAAGAATCAAACCTAAACTTTACGATCAATTCCAACCACCTCAATGGATTGCTACCCCCAATAGAGATTGGGCCAAACCATTGTTATTGCCACAATAATGAATGGCAAGCAGCAGCAGCGTTCATACTTTATAGACAAAGATAATTAACACGCACCAAGATATCATGGTTATACCATGATCTAAATAAAACTTACAACAGACGTGAACAATGAACCCACAAGCCATCTTTAGCCATACATACGAAAACTGAAATGAGTTCTCCTCAATACAAAGTAAATACAGACACAGGTGAAATGAGTCAAAAAAGAGATGGCCATCAAAAGAGATGAATTAGTGTTAAGGATACATGAATAACATAAATACTCACAAAATAAATAATTTATCTCATAAATGTTAGATAGATAGGCTGGTTTTTTGAAAGCATTCCATATGCTTCTTTAATTTGCTGATTTGTAATCTCAAGATAGGTATCGACATGCACCATAACCTGAAAAGTACACAAATAAAATGAACAGAATTAGAAGCAACATAACATGAGCGGAAATATTTCATAATTACGACAACCAAACGAGCCCGAAAGATATAACCAAGTGCCTGAGTGCCCAGTTCTATAGCATCATCAATTCAGAAGGAAAACAGACATTTTTGTTCACTTACTTGGATCAGCAAAGGTGACAGAACCAGTGTTAGAGAAATCACAGTTGAAGTCATTGCGACCATTGGCTTGATAGAAAGCGTTCATGACGTACGATGCATGGGCCCTGACAGTGTTGGGCTGGAAGCACGCCCCACCGGCCTGAATGGGACTGCAATCGGCTCCCTTGCTGCACACATAGTCTATGTTGGCCTGCAATGCTGCGTCGCTGGCTTCGGGTTTTGGTACACACCATTTTTTGCCCTTTGATGGTGCTGCTGGTAGTGCTGGACTTGGAGTAGGGTGAGGCTGTAGGCAATACAATAAAAGATGAATATACAAAAATTAGATCTTGCAAGATTAGCTTAACGGGTAGGGATTTTTTAATTGTGTAACGCCAGCTAAGTGAGAATTTGGGTTAAATCTGTAGTTGGGTAATCGAAGTTCATCCCATCATAATCACACGAATGAAAATCTAGCCATCAAGAGCTGACTATTTCATCAAGCAAACTTCAAAACTTCATAAAATTTGGTAATGACAAGAATACCTCAAGTGCGTAACACAAATTTACAACTTTGTTTAGGTCGGCAATTTGTAGTGGATGAAGCTTAACATTCCAAGATTTGACTAAATTAATAAACTAGGTGTTGGGCGTGCAACTTGGGCGTATCAATTGACACCAACCCAAGCCTAACATTATAAAATTCAAGATTTGGACAAAAACTACATGTACTAAGGTCATGGGTTTTTAGGATCTGACCCGAATTAATGACCTCGGATACAACATAGATTCAACATGAACTTTAATCTTTTAATCATAATAATTCAATTTACGAGAACACCTACCTAGTTAAACTATATGGGATCTCAGGGAAGTGCATAAGATAAAATCTGCCTAGAGGATCTGAACAACAAAGCAAAAAGAAGAAAAAGTAAGAAATAACGGAAGAGACGACAAGATTCAAATAAAAGAGGCATCGTGATCCGATTACGCGTAAAAAAAAAAAGTGTTAATAATTCGAAAGGCACATGCGTAGATTACAAGTATGTGCTTTTGGCACTTAATTCTTTTGAAATTTATATTCTTACCCTTTAGGGAAAGAAAAATTATAGGAACTTGTAATGAGTTACCTGGACTGGTCCTCCGCGCATAATTCCGATATCATACACCGGTGTGAAGTCTGGCCGGAAAAGCCCGAAATTCTTCTCAGCCAACGAACCCGATTTCTGATTCTCGTTGAACAATCCAAAAATATAGGTCTCAAACTTCCGTCCCGGCATTAATGGCGTACCAGCGCCGGAGCTAACATGCCGTAAAAGTCCCCCATTGTACGAAGCTGCATTTTCAACAGTGCACTGTGGCTCAAAAGTTTCACCCAGCGACGGCCACCCAGTTTCCGCTGCAACAATGTCCACATCGCCATAGCCCAATCTCCTCATCGACATGTACACAGCGTCCATCAACATATCAAACATGTTCGTGTAGGTCTTGTTCGTGAACCTGTCAAAATAGCCTCTGTTGGGCCGGAAAAGAGCAAAATTCGCCATTTTTGGACTGTACCCGAAATAGGGGTAAGGGTTCACCATGAAAGGTGACTTGGTTTCTCTATGAAACTGTAGCATTGGGGCTAAAGTTCCCTTGTCCCAACCGGATCTGAACCGTGCCGTGCTTGGTGGCTGAGAAGAAGCGAGTATGCCCAGAGAATGAGGCGATGAGACCTTAATATCATTAATACCGGAGAGACTCAGAGCATGATGAAGACTTCTCATAGCAGTAACGAGTTTATCTATCAGTTCTTGAGGTCCCCAATGGAGGATTTCATTGCCGACGGCTATGTAGTTGATTTTAGTTTGTGGGTAAAACGGTTTGATGTTGACATTAATCCACCGGCGAGCGTATCGAACGTCGGTGAGGTTGGGGATTTCGCCGTTGGGGACGGTGACTGTGACTAAGATTCCGGTACCGGCGAAGGCTCGGAGGATGTCTGGGTTGACGTCGAAGAGCTTGATCCGGTCGATGAAAGTTTTTTCTTTGAGAAATTGAGCAACTTGGGCCGGTTGTGGTAGGTTGTCGCCGAGGGTGCCATAGTTGACGCCGATCGATAGTACGACGGTGAAGTGTTGGATGAGAACAGTGGACATGAGAAAGATGGCGAGGTTTGGAGATTGTCTCCTGGACATCTCCATCGTTAGGCCTGGTCTTTTGACACAAGAAGAGAGAAGGAAGATCTAAGGAGTATATATATGGAAATAGAGAGAGAGAGAGAGAGGGCAGACGAGGAGGGAGACAGGGAGATTAGAGGGGTTTTCCGGAAAGCGAGAGAGAGGATTACACTTGGCTTAACATGGCAGAGAGAGAGAGAGAGATTGATCTGGTTTTATTTCCGACAAATCTAGGGTTGGATTTTGGGAACGAGATGTAACATGAGAGAGACAGAAGAGAAGAGAGAGAGAGAGGGGGTTCTGGTTTGTTTGTTTCGGACTATATATAAAGTTGGATTTAGGAATGAGGGGAGTAACATATGCTAAAATGTTCAAGTGTGAAACTGACCTTTCTTTTTGGATGGCTGAACAGTGAGTTGCCTTTATTTAACAGTCAAATAAAATTTGCTGTCTCTCAGCAGACGCGCATTGCGCATAGCCACTCAAAATTGTTTTGTCGTTCCGGTGTGAAAAATCATGAGATGATAAAATCCAAACAACCGCATTTTTTGTGTGTGTTGTCCCACCTGGTAGAGTGTGAGATACATCTGGAATCTGCTAGATGCGTGTGTAAATATTTATTTATAATATTATTTAAATTTAATTTATTCACTAAATTTATAACAATCATTAAATTATTGACGACTCTCGACAAATAATAAGATTTATTATAAATGTAATAATAATAAATTATATTCGAGTAACATTGTTTATGTTCAATAGAAAACATTATTTAAGAGTACAACTTGGACAGGTTAACCCGAGTCCAACCCAAAAAAATTAGGGTTTGAACTAAGGTTTTTAATACTTGAATTGAAATTGGGTCAAAAAATTCCAAACTGAATTTAATTTAGGCGGGTCTCGGGTTTAACCCGAATATTAAAATCGGGTTCAACCCGAATATTTATAACGATATAAATACATTTTTAAGTCTAAGGTTAATCTGTTCTGAATTTTTTATTGTGCGCCTCGCCTCCCTCACTCACTATTTAAGCAGTGAACTCTATATTTGTATAGGGATTCTAATTGTGTTTATATGGGTTTTGTATGGTTGTGGTTGTATTATTTCAAACATTGAGTTCTTAGTATTATGATTTTTATGTTAAAAATTTGATTGAAGTTGTTGATTGTTAATTTAGGTAAATATTATGTATTATATGCATCATGTTTAGAACAATGAGTTTATTTTGAGCTCAACCCGAATTGAATACGTAAAGTGGCCCGAAATCATTAATCTGAATTTAACCCGAACCCGTCCGAATTAAACTCGGGTTAACTCGAGATAAGGTTAAGATTAAAAATTATATATCTAAGATTAGATTAGAGTTGATTATCCTACCCGTCCGAGTTACACTTTTAGTCATATCATCTCATTGACTAATACTAAATAAATGAAATTTACTAATTCAACCTCTTATTTATCCGAACGTATAAATTATTAGTGATTATTAAATTTGATAGGATTTATTAATTTTATATATATTTATTCAAAACAAGTTAATAGTATCTTGTGATGCAGGATGTAGTCAATATCATCGTCACGTGGTTTAATTATCCTATTGAATAGTTTTATCTAAATATCGCGTACGCGTTGCATGTATGTGAGAGTGACACAGAGAAGATAGAATACAGCATCAATTTGCTGAAAGTTCAGTAAACTCTACTGGAACAAGAGTCATAGTCCAGGTTCCGTAACCAATGTAAGCGAGTCCAAGAAGCTTACAGAAGACAAGTCGAGCCAAGTTTTAATAAATACTATTAACTAGTAAGCTCGACTTAATTGTCATATTCCCTGTATGGATAGCACGAAAATGACCTATACAACCTCATTAACACTGTTGAATATGTTGTGTCACTCTGATTTCACTATGTTTGTTTCATTCATACTTTCTACTGTCAATAGACATTACTAGATGATGTCATGCTAAATTTTTTACAAAATATCGATTTTACCCTACCTTGTGTCACCCACAACTTTCACCCTCCCCCTCCTAAATAGCTTTCGGTCTATCTTACCAAAAGTCTTCTTCCATCCATTGTCCGAACTCACTCCATAGAATCTACTGACAACCCTCTTGCAATAGATTGTCCTCCTAAACCCATCCCACGTTTTTTCGATATATACAAATATATGTATATATATCTATATACACAGTGAAAGAGTGAGAAAAGAGAGAGGGGTGTAGCGGAATACCGTCGGCAATGGGGGACCACAGACATTTGCAGGAAGGAGGGGACCAAGGTAAAGTGGGGAGTAAATTGGGTAAAAACCCTAGAATTTCTACTATTGCAGGGCTTTTTGTGTAATTTCACCTTTAATTCCATTCATAGGCTTAGTTATCCCAAAATTAAGGTGGAATACATGGAACCTTGGTAGACATTATAAATGACCTCATTTTATACGGGCCGATTTTTTTAGTCCAACGTTTATCTCATTCAAAAAAAATGATCCAAAGCTGAATTTTGTGACCCTTCAATTCTTTTGTCCAATCCAACTTGCTTTATCCCTTTCTATCCCTTAAACCAAACATCTCCGTAGAGAATCAGCTACATAAACCTCTGTTCTTGCTAGGATCAATGTCATTTGGCCCGACACGTGCACCATTATGTGCATGTGCTTCAACACTCCTTGACGTGACTTCGTTGTAAATACATTCTCTATGTCTCTTGAGCCTCCTTGTTCTCTTTTTCCTTTGTTTTTTAAAGAAAATGAATTAACACATAATTATATCAGTTGCAACAGGAAATAGTTCCACCACTTAATTAGTTGTACATTACTGCTAAAACAACTAATACTGCATTGATTAGATGAACGCCTTTTGCCAAGTAATTCGAGATTCAGGTGTAGTGTAAGGTATTATATCATTTCAACTTCATCAGTGAACTGTAAAATCTCAAAGCAATCATGATTCTCGAAGATCTTCTAACTCTCTCAAGTCTCAACAATATTGAACTTGTCAGACACCAACTTTATACTCTTGAGGTAAAGATCAGGAGCTTCGCAGTACGTAGAGAATTACAAATCTTGAACATGAAAAGGGGTTTGCTTAAAGTTACCTGTTTTATTCTTGATCCGTTGGTGGTGGTGCAGGTGGAATTAGTTTTGTTGTTTGTGGCGTGCTTAATATTATAAAATTACTTATTAAAATTTTTGATTTGAACCATGTAAAGTATAACAAAACAGTTACATTAAAGAGTTACACAAAAACGAAAAAGTTACAACAAGATAACGAAACAGCAACATCAAACAGATATACATAACTATTTGTTTAAACAAAAAAAATACTAACCCGATTACAGAACAGGAACTGTTATTGAACTTTAGGTAGATCAAGGTTAGTGTTTGATACTATGCCCTTAAGACAAATTTCGCCCCCACACACGGTGCTTATGGAAATCGAGCGTCTACCTCCCAGAATACAATGATCTTTATACAAACAGAAGTAACACTCCAATTTACTCATCCAACGAACCAAAATGTGTTGTGTACTCTCTAAATGTATTGTCTTAATGTCAAAAATGATATATTCTAATGTTTACCTTATTATCGAAAATGGAGTGACTAATTGAATAAAATTAATGAAAATGAGGCTGAGTATTTATAGACATATTGATGACTTTTTAGACAGTCACCTTACTAAAGGATACAACCCAGAATAACAAGACACTAGACACTTTGAGTAACTGTTCTTCATGAACAATCACAACTCAAAATTTCGAACTGGTGAGAAACAGAAATTCGAACCAGTGCAATCCAACGGGTACCAAAAATTTATTTCAGGTTAAGAAATTCTCGTTCAATTAATTAAATAATTTTTTTCCAAAAAGATAGGGTTTGATATAAACCACACCCACACCCCCACTCGAGCCCGGCCCGGCCCGGGTCGTGGCAGGCGGGTGGCGCGCTCCCGTGTGTGGTTGAACTCAAGGCATGTAGGTGTTCGCTCCACTCATAAAACTATAGTACTCCTTGGGGCCCAATTCCATAGAGCAAATTTGGCCTATATATATCCATATTGAATTTCTTCTTCAACCAATGTAGAATTGATGTCACATCCCACATTGTACTTCCTTTATTTTCACATTTCAAGAAAGTTACTTTGAAACCTAATTTCTCATTCATTTCTTATTTGATTTGACCAAGTGAATATACTACATTATTTTCCTCACGATGTAGAATATGAACCCATAAAATTTTATTCAAAATAACAATTAGGTCTCACTTTAATTTAGAGTCAAAGTTGACCAAAATTAAAATTTTATACTTAAAAAACTATTTTGGTTCAACAAGTTTTGTTTGTAAAAGGGCCCTCGGAAAAAAAATCATTACAAAACATAGATTAACAATTGCCTTTCACATATGTTTTTTCTTTTTTTGTTCAGAGAGCCTTTTACTTTCGTTCAAGATAAGCTTAGACACATCGTTTTCCAATCCACACTCGAAAACACATATGAATATTGGGTTAAGAATAGAGTGGGGATAATGCTAAATAACAAATATTTAGAGTATCACCCCATTACACATCTAATAACTCTTACCTTCATTAGGGGATAAGGAAAGAAGGGTAAAGTTTCTACTTATATCAAAGCCCTAGGTTATGCATACACTCCTTGTATCTTGTATGAAGTGTAAATTTTCCTTATATTAGAGTAATGGTAAATAATCTAGAAACACAACTAGAGATAGAAACAACTACTCAGTGGTAATCCGGAACCTTTATACAAAATGACCCTTACATGACTGATAAACAAAACCAACAACTAATCGTATTATTCGGAAAACAATTAAAATGCTAATGACTTGAGTCTTCTTTTGAAGATTAAAAACTCCATAAGTATTTGCTGGTATAAAAAAGAAAGCAGTGCAAAAATTGCAATTTGAATACACCCTTCCATATTAAGCTCCAAACTAACACCAAAGACAAATAGTAATTTCACAAAATCAACCTCTGATTATTATGAATAAACACAAGCACTCGATTGAGCCATCACCTATTGATGCACATAATTTTTATACCAAACAAATGCAAAAAAAAATCATGGTTGGCATGCAAACAAGAACTTTAGGTGCTACACAAAATACAAGGAAATAATCATGCTGGCATGCACAAACTTCTTCATAATGAAAGAACAAACACTTATCAGAAAAGATGACTTATTCATAAAACAAAAGCAAGTGGGACACCAAAAAAAATTGTGAGAGGACAAAAATATCTCAGCACCTGGTACCACAGATTGGTTCCACAATGGTGAGGCG